TGGCTGCCCAGGGAGGTGGTGGAGTCACCGTCCCTGGTGGTGTTCAAGAGGTGCCTGGATGAGGAGCTGCGAGATGTGGGTTAGTGCTTGTGGTACTGATAGGAAAGGGAGGGGGGTTGGACTGGATGATCTTGCAGGTCGTTTCCAACCTTGTGATTCTGTGATACAAAGAACAAATATGTTGCAAAGCAAACAACTGGGTATTGGATAATGGCCAGGAAGTTTACAAGAAGTTGCATATATCCTGATGTTTCTAACATTGTCTACTTTTCTTCTCTAACTTTCTCTCCTAATATTCCTTTCCTCCAATTTCTCTCTTCCTATCTTTCTTTTTCTCCCTTTCTTTCTCTCTTTCTCTCCTTCTTCCTTTCCTTCTTTCTCTCTTTCTCTCACCATTGGGAGATTTTCCACCAGCATCAATCTTTTAAATGTCACCAACAGTTTGAATTTATGTACATAACATCTTGGCCTGACACACAGTATAAACTATTCTGACTAGATTTCAGGCTGATAGTTAATAGTTAAAACAGGAATCATATTTAATTCATAAAGTTCAGCAAAAGTTCAGGAATTGGTACGTAAGTATTAATAAAGGCAAAGAGGCCAAATTGAAGAAAAAGAGATATTAACCATCAGGTCATTTAATAATGGTTTTGTTGGTTTTTTTTGTGTGTGTGTGTGTTTTTTTTTTTTTTTTTTTTTTTTTGGTTAGGGGGTCATTAATACCTTTTTCCTGCATTATATAAGGTATAGAAAAATCTGAATACTGGAAAATGTGTAGGAAAATAAAACAAGTTAGAGTTCTTTGTTTGTTTCTTGCTGTTATAGGAATACCTTGGAGAGTTTATCTTTTCTCCCTGAGGGATTTCTATTTTATTTTTCATGATAAGGAAAACAGCATGTAAACAGAACAAATTTATGTTAGCAGACTTTAAATCACCTAGCTAAGATCTGTTGCTAGAATGTTACACAAAATTTTGGTTTTAACAGTATTTGGAGTGAAAGAAAATAGAACAGTAAATAAATAATAACTTCACTTGCCCTTAGACTGGTTTGTGAAATGATCAGAGAAAGGATGGATATAGCTAATGTAGTTAAAAAGACATTCTGAACTATTTGCCTAAGCAGAACAGGAGAGTTTATGGGACTTGACAGCTTGTATGCTCTTCAGGGTTTCACTGTGTTATAGGAAGAGTAATGGTAATCAGCAAAGCATGTACCACGCTGAGAGTTGGCATCTGGAGGGAATAGGTGGAGCCTCAATTGTCTCCCCTGGTGAAACAAACAATACTGAGAGATAGCGAGCTGAACTGGGAGGCTGTGATGTCAGTGTAGCTATTAGGCAACATATTTATTTGCTGACTTTTGCCTGTTGGAGATGACAATCAAAACCCAAAATATTTTGTCTGAATGGTGGTACAAAATAACACTTCACTTCTTCTTTGCTCTAGAAAAATCTTAATTTTTGTAAAATGCTATAGTAGCTACAATCTTCGTCATATACTTATCCTTTTTTTTTTTTTTTTAAAAAAAAAAAAAAAAAGCTTATTCTTTTACTCACATATAACTAATGGAAGGTAATGCATGAGGACTCTTGTCCTGATTGACTTATAGGTTGTCCATTTCCACTTTTCTTGACAAGTACTGTTTCAAAGAGAGTTACCTGGCACGGTCTTCAACCTGCTTCTCTGGGGAGTGTTATTTTGAATTTGTCTTCTGTTTCAGTCACTGTGGGACTAACGTCATACTCTCACAATCAGAGGAACTGTACATTAAGAAACCCACGCTGTGCCAGCCTCTTTCTCTGGTAAGTACAATATCAAATTCTTAGTATCCCCATTTCTCTTTCGCTCTCTGCTCTGATCTGAACGTATCCCCTTCAGAACTCTACATATTTGGAAGGTGATTCCAGCAGATCTATTCTGCCTATGCAGGACAATCAGATGGTCGTCTCTTAGAGTTCAGCTACAGGATTCCTCACTTCAAGGGAGGCAGAAAGACTCTTGGATTGAAAGGGAAAACTCACGAGGATTTGACTTATTTTATTGGGAAGGGGTGAGATGTGCTCTGGACTCTGCTCACAGGATGGACCATTACTCTCTCACCACACTTATGAGTTTTTCAGGAAGCTTGCTGATCTGGAAGAGATGAGGCCTATTTCTCTATCTTGTCTGTGTTTTCTTGCTCAACCAAAGGCCATCTTCTGAACATAGAACATCTTCTGAACACATATGGGGCTACAAGGGAAGGCAAGCACCAGTTAATAAGTGGCATTTCCACATCTTGACAGAACATCCCATAATTAATTCTGAGGAATATGAATCTATTCACATTCTTAATTAAGCTGTCACCAGATTTTCTACAGAGGTTTCAACATGCATGTGTGAATGTACAACAACATCTGTGCAGAACTACATTGTGAGAAAGATGTGACAACTGAAATGTCTCGGTCTAATCCAGGAGTGAACATATGCAGCTTGAAAACAATGTGCAATCACTCTGGCAAACTCTGCAGGGGTATGTACAAGCTTAAGCTGTTGAGATCAAGCAGCCTGGAGTGTCTGAACGACGGTCACCACATTTTACTAGCTGAAATATTTGGACAGTGTGAGGATCATAAATAGGAATATTGAATTCTTGAAAGAGCAATACAGGAAAATATTTCTCTTATGAAAATCCTAAACAGACCCAGTTCCTTCCAAATCCCAACATCTTCTGAAACTATTCCCTGAATAAAAACATCTGTCACTTGGATAAGACCAAGTCTCTTTTAATATAATGCAGACTCTGATTTACCTCTTCCCCTAATTTGCTTTTAAAAGCTTTGCTTTTAGCTGTGCCAAGGGTCTATGCTACAATTGCTGTGCCTTAGCCATATGCTTTAGTCACAGCAGTGCTTTGAAATATGGATGGTCACTTTCAGGAAGATTTAGCTACATTTAAAAGGTGTAGAGGAGTAGAGATTCTGCGGGAGGAAGAGTGCAGCTGATGGCTGTCCTCTAAAGACATATTAATATGAAATATTAATGGTAATTACTAGTTTTTAATGCATTGCCCCTGGATTATCTTTACAGCTAGACGCAGCAGACCAAAAGCTCACTTATATTAGATGGATAAACACTGTATCAGGTAAAACCATCCTTTCCTTTTGATAATTAAATTGTGCAGACTTTAAAGTGGATGTCTCATGGTTTCCCTCTTCTCCTCATCCCCTTCTGGACATGATCTGGAAGAAAAATCAGTCTACAAGTATATGAATCTTACAGAGTTTCCTAGTCCCACTCTACTTCATCTTTTATTATCTTTCCTGGAGGTTAAATTTTAAAACTTTCCATTTATAACATATACAGTGACAGAAATGTACTACGCTTTCTATGCAGAACATTTTCACTGAGGAGATGCAAGAGTATTTGAAATATGTTGTTTGGCTTTTTCCTTTTCTGTCAGGATTTTAAATATGCTTCTGATATTGGATGTTTGGCTGCAGATAACTACTAGGACTGCTTCCAAAGAGGTCGAATATTTATGACACAACAGGACACTGTGAATTCTGTGTGCTTACATTGGTATGTGCTGATGGCTATACTTCTCCTGATCCCTGCACACTGTAATTTAACAGGCAAAGATGACGTTCATACATACTGATAAGGTGTTGGATGGATGACTGGACACAAGAGGAGATGCAGGAAGCAAATCTGTATTGGGAGTCCAAGCTGAGTGCATTTGGAAAGCAGTATTAACCTCCTGTGAATATTCTTTCTTGTTTTATTCGTGGATCTCTAGCAGAGATATAACAGAGAAGCAGGTTCCCCCAGATAGAAAATGATGACCCCCCCATTAATGGCTTCACTTGTCTAATCCTAAAAAGATGTCTGAGTCGCAGGGCTAAGCCTTGTTCCAGAGCATCCTGTTGTGAAGTGTCATTCTTCACATCACTGAAGAAGAGAAAGGGAAACCCTCTCTGGAACTAAGGGCTGGTGCTTTGCTTATTAAAAAAAATTAAAAAAACTTCCCTCCTGCAACTACAGTGTCACTTCCTTCTCAGTGCTAACCTTGCTTTTGTTGCAGAGAGGAACAAAATGCCTAAACTCTTCTCTTGCTTCTCTCAGAGATGTACTGGCCCTTCAGCAATGGTGAGATAAAGCTCTTCTCTGAGACAGAGCTTGGGCAACAATCTTAATGCAAAAGGTAACCAGGCAGAGATTACTGCAGTACTTTTCAGAGACAGTGGGAGTGACTGGTTAACATCTAAGGAAGGCTTTCAAGAACACCAAAACGAAGCTGATGCTGCTTGGCATTAATGTTAAAGGCACTGGAGCTGCTTATGTTGTATTACATTTTAAGTGAGAGTCTTCACAAACGGAGTAAAAAGAAGTAGTTATCATCTATCCTGAACAGCTGCCACCACCATTTCTTTGCAAGAGAGAGGAGCTGGCTGGTGCTTGGAAAAAAGATTCACAGAACCCACAGTCCTCATGAGCGCCTTGATAGCAGAGCGAGGCACTTTATTTCATCTACAAACTGCACATTGTATTTCTGAGCAACATCTCTCACAAAGTTAAGGGCTGAGAATAAAGGCCAAGAAGTTTTCTTTCTAGAAATTTGCTGTAAGCTGAAAACCACCTGTTTTCCTGCGCTGTAACCTGCCGGCCTGCTCACTATGGGAGCCTAACAGGAGAAACTGCTGCTAGCACAACAGTGTCACCTGCTGGCAAGCGAAGTGGCAACTCATGCGTCTGCTGTCTTCCCTGAACGCCACAGACTGCTCATTTGCTTCACGTGAGATTAATGCTCTTCACGTTTATGTGAATGATTAAAAACAAAGCAGCTTGGGTGCTTCAGCCTTTGTTTTTTGTATGAGGCATTTCTTATGCATTTGATACTGGCGAAGAACACACGAAAGTCTACTGTGGGTATCACTGCCCTCAAAAACTTCACTTACAGGCCAGTGAATCTCACACTTCTGTGCATCTAACACATGTGTATTTCATACAGGTGACATGAATGACCACGTGGAAGAAAATGAAGAGAAAAGCAGCACTGCCCAGAAAACATCTGCGGAAGAATCTGTCTGTCCTGCTGCAGACAGAATGACAGCAGAACAACTGGTACGACTTCTCCAGTACTGTTTCACTGCCAAATTCCTTACCATTTGCCTTCAATTTGTTCAATAATTATAAAAGCTAAAAGCTAGAATCAATAAAACAACTGTAAAATAGTTGAGTTTGCAGGGCAGTAATTTAGAGGGCTAAGCACTTGCAAGCTCTAATGAAATAGAGAGGAAATAAAGAAGTATTCTTAGATCTATCTTCATAGAGTCTATCTAGTCTTAGAGGCTATCTCCACAGTGTTTTATATTTCCAACTTGAAATTGCATTACTTATGATCACAGACAGCAATGATGCTGATGTATACTTTCTGCACCAAAAGTCTACCCCAACTCCAAAGGAGAAATGGTATAGGAGACAGCCCAATACATTTTTATGAGAATTCAACAGAAAACACACAGCATCAGTGACACCTTTCTCTTGCTTCTCAGAAGCTGTGTGTCTCTATTAAAGATGTTTAGTTTAGCTTCTTCAATTTTATCCATGCTTTTCTCTTAGACCTCACTTGCCTAGTGCTCCCTTCCTGCACTAGCTGATCCTCCAAATATTTCCCTTGCCCTCAGCCTGCTAAGACAAAGCATGTCTATATGAACCTCAGGGAAGAGTGAAGATAAGGGCTGATCTAGTCAATATGTTTATAATTATACATATTTTTTAATATTATGGATAAACTGAAGAAAAAAGTACAAGATTTCTGTCTCCCCAAGACAACTTTCAAACCATGCCACTGTATCAGAATAAGAATCTATACCCAGAATCCTATTAGGTTCCACATTCTATCAGGGCAATAGTCAGTTAACAGCTACACAAACAAATAGTCCTAAAACCATGATCTTAGTTTTATGTAGAGCTTTGCCTTATCTTCCTACCTGTGTTAAGTTAGCAAAGATACTAATTTTAATGCCATTTGGAAGCCAGTGAAGGCATTTGGTGGCTAATAAGTGCTCGCTCTAGTTACAGAAATGATAACCTTGCTCTTCTTTCTTTTTCTGTTTTTCCTTTTTTTTTTTTTTTTTTTTTGTTTGTTTGTTTGTTTTTAGCAAAAAGTTAAGAAGGAACTAAAACACTTAATTTTTCAAAATCCAGGACCTCAGGTAGCTAACTTCAATCCTGAAACTAGAAAGCAGAGAAAAAAAGCACACAAGTCACAGATGAAACAAGACTGTTTCAATAAACCCAAGTAAGATGTATTAATTTATTACAAATTTTGCTTTTAAAAATGGTTCTCATGCTGTTTACTGAATATAAATGGAGGGAATAAGAGCATTAATATTTTTCAGAGATTTCTTATTACATATGAAAGATACATAGAGAAAATAAACTTTTTCTGTGCGACTCAGATTTTAACTTTTTCAGCACACACAATGCCTATTTCAATTAGGATCTAACACTTATTTTGACTGAGCTGCAAGTGTTGAAAAGGAAATATTTGTTCTTGGACAGATGGTCTCCACATTTGCTGGGTTTAGGCTTTAAAAATGTCAAAACACTTTCCAAGAGCCACTGTTTCTTTGCTTTTGTAGAACTCTGAGTAAGTATGACAGTCACGGCCGGCTGCTTGGGAGTAACGCTGATTTGTGTGACTGCCTGGACAAGAACTGCCTGGGTTGCTTCTATCCTTGCCCCAAATGCAACTCAAATAAGTGTGGGCCAGAATGTCGCTGCAATAGGAAGTGGGTTTATGATACAATTGAGCTTGAAGATGGGAATGTGATCAATGCTTTCCCATTTCCTACTGATCCCTGATTTTGTTCCGATAGGTTTGTACCTCAGTGAAGTTCTCCTTTCTTCATAGAATCATAGAATTATAGAATCATAGAATCACCAAGGTTGGAAAAGACCTAAAAGATCACCCAGTCCAACCGTTCACCTATTCCCAATAGCTCCTACTAAACCATGTCCCTCAACACAACATCCAGCCTTTCCTTGAACACCCCCAGGCTCGGTGATTCCACCACCTCCCTGTGCATCCATTGCAGTGCCTGACCACCCTTTCTGAACAGCAATTCTTCCTCATGTCCAGCCTGAATCTCCCCTGCCGTAGCTTGAAACCATTCCCTCTGGTCCTATCACTAATGACACGAGAGAAGAGGCCGACCCCCAGCTCACTACAACCTCCCTTCAGGAAGTTATAGAGAGCAATTCCCTTCACACAACACACAAATTCCCTTCCCTCACACAAAAATATTATCCTAACTGCCTGTTTTTCTACTGCTCCCTCACAGCACTGTGTTCCAGTTGCTGGCTCTCCCCTTGCTGCCTTCCTTCCATCTTGTTTTTGCTGCAGGCTAAAAATTATGCATAAAGAGACAAAATGTAAGCAGCCAGCAACCATAAAAATTTGAGAAGTCTGAGGTGCTGACAGTACAGAGTTCTGACAGCAGGATGGCAATGAAGGCAGGTAGTAGTTCATGTGTTATCATAATGGATCTCAGCTTTACAAATTATGAAATGTCTGTCAATGTTGCTTGCACTTCTTTATTGATGTTTCATCAGCACGCTTAAACATTTCATGTTAAGTAAAATTGTACCGAGGCTCTCAGCTCTGACTCAGGCACATTTTGCAGTGGAGGGGTGATGTCACTGCACAGGAGGCTTCCTGAACCAGGGTAGAGCAAAGTGCAAATCCCCTCCCTGCCTACCTCCGCTGCCCAAGAGCCTGTAGAAGTGTTGATGTCATAGGTGACTCCCCTCTGTGGGCAACTGAGGGCCCAATTTGACAGCCAAACCTCGCACATAAGGAAGTCCACTCCCTCGCTGGGGCTCAGCCTAGTGAAGATATCATCTGTTAGCCTCTTGCCTAAAAACTGATTAAATTTATCTTCCTGTTTTTTTTTCTCCTGCCTGGTGTTTTTGCCTAAAGTTTTCGTGAAGGTAAAGATGTTTTTTCCTCTACTAACTTCCTATATGTTTGGGGGTCCTTTTGATTTGAGATCCTTTTGATTCCAAAGACTCCACTGAGTATGTTCTGCTAGGTACAAACTTGGAAACTCAGAAAATTAAAGATAGCTAAGTGCAAAACCTTGTTATTTGTCTTCATTTCACTCTACCAGACTTTAAGCTAGTCAGTCAGATGCTGAAGACAAGCACTACTGAACAATTTGTCAATAGTTTAAGTGAAGAAGTTTTCACTGCTAAAAAAGGATTTAAAAAATACAAAATAAATAATCCCCCTAAAATCAGCAGGTCTCCTTGCATCTATACAGCTCAAACTGGCCCCCAAAAAGCCAAGCCATTCAATGCTGAGACTTTTAGGATATGACAGTGACGTGAAAGAACGTCTAAAGGCTTTACCAAATGAGTCAGGAGACAGGAGTTTTGAAGAAGGCAGACCAAGTCTATCTGAAATCAAATGTCAAAATCACCACAGCATGCTGGGACACCTGTATGTTCGGCTGTGCAGGTGACCACCTAGACGACTGGTCCCATGTGAGCCTGTTTCTGTACTGAGAAAATGGCAAAATGATGCTGATTTTTCTTTCATCCACTGTTTGCAAATCCCTCTTTTAAATCAAAACCAACATTTGTTTATAAAACTCCTTTTATTTATGGACTCTGTAAGTGTCAACCTGCAATTATATAGGTATACTAATATCTCTGAAATGGACACTAGCAATACAACAGATTTTTATCACTATAGACCAACAGGCAGAAAATGAAGATTATTTGTCCCAAATATTGCAATGAAGCATTACAAGATTCCTGTCCACATGAAAACCTGACAGTATGTTCAGCACCACTGAATCCTATTGCATCAGTTAAAGAAAAATGACTCTTGCACCAGTACTGAACTTATTTCAGTACACGCCAGCATTTGTTGACATAAGAATGCCACAATTTGCCAGCTTCTGAACTACGCAAGCACAGAAAACAGTTAAAAACAAAAAACAAACACCAAACCAGCTTTGAACTCTTTTCCAGATAATTTTCTCTGGGCTTTTAATATCTCCCATAAAGGCACAACAGAACTCTATATGCATCAAAAGGAGAACAGCGTACAGATTTGATTAACTTCTGTGGGAAAAGCATTAGAGCCCGGCTGAAGAAATACAGACTGGTAATTCCTCACCTGATAAATATTTGTACCAGCACCATTGCAGTCCCTACAGCTCCACACTTCTTGCTTAGTACCGCCTGCTGTAGCTTCTCCTTCAACACGCTACTCATAACTTTAAGACACTTTAAGATAAATTACTCGGGAAACACACGTTACAGTCATCAGACCAAATGCGCACAGGCGTAGGCTGCGCAACCTCGATTTCTTCCCTTCGCGTGACCAGATGCAAGCATTTAAGCGCAAGCATTAAAAAACCAGCATGACAAAATACAGCACGTCAACCCCAGCTGCCCGTCACAAGAGGCTGCAAGCCGCCTTCCGGCACGCCCCGCCGCGCTGCTGACGTTGGGGCGGGGCGGCAGCGGCAGCCATGGCGGCGGCCGTGGTTCCGCAGACGGACAGGTAGGCGCGTGGAGGCGGCGGTGGGGGCAGCGCGTCTCCCCGCTCCCAGCCCGCCCCGGCCTGAGCGCCGCTGCGGGGTGAGGGCGGCGCGGCGGGGCGTGCTGCAGCCTGACCTCTTCCTCTGCTTCTGCACAGCATTCGCAGGGCCGTGCTGCTGCTCAACGCCGTGGATTCGGGTCGGTTCCCGCGCCTGCTGTCCCGTCTGCTGCAGAGATTGCATCTGAAGGTGGGCGGCGCGGCTCGGAACCGTTCTGCCGATGTGTTTGTCACCTTTGCCGATCATTTATATGCTTGTTTGCTTGCTTTTCATTGTGCGTTAGGCATAAAACCAGCAGTTTGGTATCGCTGCGTCGTCCCGAAACATCAAAGGGAATTTAAATATGGAACTGTAAGAGAAATGATTAAACACAAGTGCTTTTGTTGAGGATTTCTTTCAGCTGTACTCTTGACATCGCGTTGCATATTCCTTTGTTCTGTGTTTGCTGAAACACGAAGTTTGCATTATGCTCACGCGCAGGCTGGCACTAGGCAGCGCAGGGTGGGAGCAGCGCAGGTAGAAGTAAAAGCTTGTTTGTGGCTGCGGCTCAGGGACTGCGAGGGTTCTTTCTTAACTTAATTCTGTTTCTGATTTTCTCCTGTCCAGAATTGCTGGCTTGGATGCTGCTGTTACTGTGGAGAGCTGTCTCAGATATTCTGAGTGGATGCTAGTTCGTTAAGAAAGCATCGCTAAGTTTTTCGGTGCTCAGTACCAGATTAATAGCTTTTAACAGGAGCAAGGTTTGACACGAGTAGGCTGACCTAATGAGCCCCATCTCATGGATCCTCCCATTGCCTTCCCAAAGTACCTGGCCTGGGGATGAAGGCCTTGGAGCCCTTCACTTAATTTACTTTCCTAACAGGGCACATGCCTGGAACTCTGCATCTGCTTCTAAAAGCTGATTGTTCAAGTAACACTTGTGTTTTGATACTGTTCCTACAGACACTGTGATTGTTGATGTTTTGGTGTGATTGCCTTATCTTGTTTATTCTGTCAGCTCAATTGCCTTTTTTTGGTGAACTCTCCTTTTTTGGGCTATTAACTTGTTGAGATGCTGCATTCTTATGTTTGCAGCATAGTAATTGCATTTTAAAGGATGACTGTATGTGCGTTTAAAGTACTGTTTAATTTATTACAGTAATCATGACTGCTGTATTTAAAAGTACAGCACACTCACAGTAATTTTCAGTAACGTGGTGTAGAATAGGCTATATTTAAATCCAGCTTTCAAAGCAACATGCTTTGACTTAAGGCTTTATTTTCTTTACCACAGAACAGTCGTTTTTCAAAAGAAGAATCTGCAGTGGAGGAAGCCTACAGAATTAACTACACAGCAGCTTTTGCTTCCTGTTTTCTTTGGAGTCTGATTCAAGCAGTGCGCTTCTTATTTATGGAAGTTTGTTGCACGTGATGATCTGATGCCGTTTTTTAACATTTTGAGAAACGTTTTCTAAGCAGCTCTCAAGCATAAAGAGAGCTTTTTTTTTTTTTGTGGTGTGTTTTGAGTGATCCTGATAGAAGCTGCAGTATCTCATAAGAAGTTAAACCTGAATTTCAGTGAGATAAATTAGTTTTCTTTTTTCCTGATGGAAAGGGCTTTATTTTATTTCCAGTTAAGAAAACTAGAGAAACGTAGTGTTTATAAAAATGATGAGAAAGCCTTTTTTTTGGCAGATACATGGTGACTGAACAGAATCAGCAGTAACCAATCTTGTGTTTCAGGCTGAAACCAGCTTCAGTGAAGAGGAGGAAGAAAAACTCCAGATAGCTTTTTCACTGGAAAAGCAAGATCTTCATCTAGTTCTTGAAGCCATATCATTTATTTTGGAGCAAGTACGTTGTTTTTAGCGCTATGAATTGATAAATGCTTTTCTTTTATCAGACTGTAGATTTAAAAATACAGATGTCAAGATAGAAAATATTTTGTGGGAAAGTGTCTGTGGTATATTGCGTATGTTTTGGGGGGCATGATTTTCCACTTGTATACTGATTTATATGGAACTCATTGCATTTATGGCGTAATTTTCCAGCCAAGGTAAATACAGGCAATGGAAATTAGCTCTGCGTGACTGTCGGAAGTGTTGCTGCACTTGAGGAAGTGTTGTTAATTGTGAGGTATAGCTTTTCCTCTTACTTGCAGGTGAACAGGCACACCTGCTATAGCTCTCGTGTTTGAATGAGTGGGTGCCTTGTACGAGGAGGATGTTTTCTGCTTCTGCCCTGGGTTGACACTCAACCACCACTGAGGTGGGAAACGATGGTAAACAAGGTAGCTCAGCAGCTCTGACAGTTGCAGTGTTGCTGCTGCTGCATTTCTGTGCAGGTGCGATAAGTTTTTGTGCATAGGAAGTGTGCTCTGGTGTTAATCAGATGTGCTGTGCTAGATGACTTGTGTCTTTCTTGCACCTGTCAATTTAATGTTAATTAACTTAGTATATTCCACAGTATCAAAAAGAAAGCATAGTCCTGCCTACATTTCCTATCCACCGAACAGTTAAAAATTGTGGCCAGATTCAAACTGGAATTTTGAATTTTCATCTCACCTGGAAACAACCTCTCTGTTTTGATTCACTTGACTGCTTAATTTGTGTGACATCTACTGGAGATGAGTAGAAAAATTAGAAAAGCATGTCTTAGGACTTACTTTCTAAATAAAAAAACAACCCTAAAACATACTAATTAGTCCAAAGAAGGTTTCTATATGGAATGCATATTGTTGAAAGGCTCTTCTGCGTTTCCACTGATAGCTACTCTTTTTAGAATTGCTGCTTGTTCTTTCAAAGCATGGCCTTGATAATAGACTTGTGATCTACTGGTGTGTTATAAAAATAAGATTGCTGTGTGGTCTTTGCTGTATGTGGTGTAGTGTTTTTTTTTAAGGTGTGGAAGAATGATGGAGTCCTGGTGTTTGTTTGTTTGTTTTTTGAGTGGTGGGCACCATATGATAGAGAGTGTTTATCACAGAAATCAGTGCTGTGGCCACAGTAGCAAACTCACCTTTTCTGCAAAGTACTGTCCCTTCAGAATATTATGTGATTCAGAATATGTGATAGCTTAGCTTTGCTAATAATTTGACAGTATCAAGTGGGAGAAGTTGTTCTTTTTTCATGGTCACAACAGACTTTAAAATGCTTGGGCGCTACCCACAGTGGAAGCACAGGGAGGTATACTGACTATATGAGGTGCAGTTTGGCCTGGTTCCATGACTAAATGGGGTTGGAGGGCCCATGTCCTGGGAGATGGGGAAGGGTGAAAAGGTAAAAGGTGGTGAGATGGGCCTAAAAAGCCATTGGCAGTTAACTAAGGGAGAAAACGAATTTACTAAATCTGATAGTGTAATGCAAGATAACAAAATATAATATGGTTGAAATTGAGGTTAAGGAGTCAAATAAAATGAAAGCGTGTGTCCAAAACAAAAGGCCTTACTCTAATGCTGTAGGTGAGATGGTTAGGGAGCACGCTGCAGTGACAAGCAAGAAGAAGGGCACAGTCTCATGACTCTGGAGCAGTTTTAGCTCTCCCTCTGAATGGAAAACAGAAATGGAACAGTGAAAGTCTGCTGGGGGTTGGACCAGATGACCTCTGGAGGCCTCTTCCAGCCCCTACAATTCTGTGATTCTGTGAGATGTAGTTCTCTTCTCTGAGAGGTACCCTGGAGCTATTGACAGTCTACAGAACTGGACCATTAACTTGTTAGCTCCCAGTGCACTGCATGATGTTATGATGTGAAACATCAGTAACAGAAATCGTAAAGCCATGATATTCCATACCCTATTCCATATCACCATGTCATGCTTAATATGTATACAAACAGTAACTAACATTCACTGAACACACATGCACACATACATAGATGGAATTACTGATTGCACTCCCCAGTATCAAATTCCCTTATGGTGAACATTGAACATCCCCATTTTTCTCCATCACCCACCAAGTGGACCCAGGTCTCTGAATAAAACAGTTCTATGTAGAAGTTTGCCCTTTCCAGAAGCTGGAAGGATCCAAACTGCTTTTCCCAACATGCTTTTTACATGTACCACAGAGACCTTATCTCCCTCTGCAGTATGTAGGGGGCTGGATTGGGCAGGACTGTGTCCATTGATTGGTCCTCCAGTGTTGACTGAACAGGTGGCTTCTGCTAAATGCTTTTCCCAGTGCTTAAATGTTCTGTCACTCATTGCTTTCAACATGGTTTTTAACAATCCATTGTGCATTTACCAGAAGCTGGTACATAATAGGGGATGTGATAAATCCACTCAGTGCTGTGATCTTTGGCCCAAGTCTTTACAGGGGAATTTTTTGAAATGAGTCCTATTATCTGACTCAGTTCTTCTGGAGTGCCATGTCACCACAGGACTTATTTCTTGGGACCTAGTATGGTGTTGAGTTTAGTTTGCATATGTAACTTTTAATGGTTTATCTTGAATCATCTGTATTATTGCATTTTGAGTTGTGATTGGGAAAGTTACACTCTTCCATTTCCTCTGTGAAATGGTTAGGATGAACACAGTGCTTGCAGTCCCGTTGTAGAGCTGCTAGTAAAAAAATCTTGTGTGCACGTGGAGGCCATCTGTAGTATTGTAGAATTGGTTTGGCACAACTTGTGCAACAGTGCTTTAACGATAGTGGTTATTTTTCCTTTAAACAGGCTGTTTATCACAATTTGAAGCCTGCTTCACTGCAACAACAGCTGCAGAGCATCCACCTGGACCAAGACAAAGCTGAGGCATTCGCTAGTGCATGGGCAGCTGCGGGTCAAGAGACAATTGAGAAGTTCAGACAGAGGATTTTGACCCCTCAGAAGGTAATTCTTACTGTTTAAGAGATTAAAGCTATATAGTTGTGTTTTAAAGCAAGGTGTCTAACATAAAGAATCTATGACAGCACAGGGTACTGAAAACAAAAAGGGTACATGTCGTCAGTGTAATGAGGTTGTGTTGCCTCAAAGAGGTGTTTATGTGTTAGTTCAGCTGCTATAACTGCTTGAACTATGCAGTGTAATGTGCCGTATGTGTCATTTGTGATATGCTTTACACCATATGAACATGCTTTACACTAGGTCATAGGTGTCCAGCTTCTTGGCTTGCCTGTGCCATGTGGGGTGAATAGGTATTGTCTTGGGCCACAAGTGAAATATGTGGATAATGTGTTTATAACTACCAAAACTTATTTTTAATATACTTGAATTAAAATACAAAAAGCAGAGAGCAAGAAAACCATAAAACATGTGGAGTGTTAGGATTTATGAAACTTGTGCATCAGTTCAGTGGAAGTGGTTGCTATTCCTAGTGAGTTCTCAAGGAGGTCAACTGAGATTCTTGATGAAATATGTCTCTTGCCATGCTGCATCATTGAAAACAGTTGTTCACCTGTGTGTGTACTGACAAAAAAAGAGCGATGACATGAGCAAGGTGTGACTGTTGAGTGATGGATGTTTTTCTCAGTCTAAGAAAGCGTAGTAAAAATGCATGATCAAATTTTAATTTGAGATGAATGTTTGATTGCAGCTCTGTACATTCCATTTGAAAATTTGCAGGTAATGTGGTTATGTTGTCTGAAAGTAGAGTTGCAAATATACCAAAAAATTCTTGATTTCTTTGGGGGGGAATCTTGATTGCTTTTCTCAAATTCCTGTATCAAAACTGTTGATTTTGAAAAAACAAAGCTGCATACTATATGCCAATACATCAAAGTGTGTGAAATTATAACTATAACTTGAGTTTGCCCTAATTTGTTTCATTTTGAGTGCAGTTACTTTTTGAAATGTAGTACAGATAAGGTGATTTTCACCTTGAGGACACATTAAACTCATTTGAAGGAGAGATAAAATCCACCAAAAATGCTAAATCTGTGAGCCATTTTTAATCATCTTGTGGCACGATTTTTCTCTTTGATTCCATAAAGGACTTGATTTTGCTTCACGAATCCAAAAAAGTCTTTTTGGCATTTCACTCTGACTTTAGCCCCCTTCCTTCAGAAAAGCAAATGATGTCTTCGTAATCAGCATCCAGACTTTTAAGTACATTATACTTTATTCATGGGTTAGCTGATGATTTGCATGACGTTATCTGTTTTTAAAGCTTTTGCACAGAATTTTCCTGGATGTACAATGCTGTGGTATTTTATCAAATGTGAGTTGTCAGTGGCAATTGCATAGTTTTCTACTAATCTTACAGGTCCATCTTTTTTTTACAGACCATCACCAGGGTGTCTTCAAAAGCTGTACCTGATGTGTTGATGAAGGTTAAAGAAAATTGTTTTAATTTATCTTTTGCTGTTTCAAGTGCATCAGGATATTTAGTTGTCTTTAAATGGCACAGTAGAAGCCATTTCTTCAGTGACATTATGCTAACAGTACCTGTAACGAAAGTGGCAGGTTGAGCTGTATTTGTAGCATCAATATTTTCATTTATTGCCAAAGCCTTACTTCCCAAATTTCTTGCATTGTGTTTTCCTGTTTCTTTGATTTGCCTGATTCCAGTCTGGCGAGGCAAACTGATTTTAGAAAAATCCATTATTTTATCAGGACAAATTACATGTGCCATGCTTTCCAAACACTGCTTAGTAAACTAGTGTTCATGAAATGATTTTGATTATTATTTTTTTTTTTCCCAATTAGATTTACTACCTCTTAAATAGTTTTTATAATGGAGTCTCTTTGATTTTTAACATTTTTTTTTTAAATACACAGCCAGCAAGCTGCACATGCTCATGCCATGAGTAACACGCACGGGTTTTGGTGCAGCTGAGTGCATGTAGTGGGTGCAAGAGAGAGAATCAGCACTGCAGTGGGCCCTCCCTGTGTCCTGGTTTCAGCCCAGGCAGCATTGATCACCCAGTACTGTTTGTACTGAGTGATGGGTGCGTGCCTGTTGCTGGGCCAGGCCTCTTGATGGAGAGTTGTCCATGGCATGAGGCCGGGTGTGAGCTGCATTGTGAGTTGTGCCAGGCCATGTGCAGACTGTCGTTTGGACATGTGGACCTCCTGTAAAGTGTGCTCATGAGCACCGGTAGTGGCCTGGCTTGTCTCATTTCTCTGTCATTAGCGTGTTTCAGAGCATCTGCTGCTTTCGATTTTCTAATATGGATAATTAAGGAAAGCTTTCATGCTTCAGGTGTGTCTGTTGCCAGTTAAAACTAGGGCACGTGCTGTTGAAGTCTGATCCACTGTGCCTTTAGGCGTAAATGAGCAGGTATAAAATCCTGTTGTTTGCTTGTGATGAGCCTTCAGGAGAGTGTAAATGGAACCTGTGTCTGTGTCAGACATGACCAAATGATTCAACAGAACTGTTGAACATTGACTTAGTTGTTTTTCATTTTTATCTTTTTTTATCTTACTGGGCTAAGATTTGCTTTTTTTTAATCCTTTCTGTTACCCAATTGGTTATTGAAATGTACATAGAAAATAAATCTGGTAAGGAATATATGGTACTGACAAATAAGAGCATAGTACAAGCAGCTTTTGTTTTTTTAGAAGTATAGGCACATTTTAAGAAGACAAAATCTGTCAGTTGCAGAGGCTAAAGATAATAAAATAATAATAATAATAATAATAAAAATAATAAAAAAAAAATAATGTAATTAGGTTACAGCTGATTTTTTCCAAAGTGTTTGAACTTGATCACGTGGAAAGCTGGGTAATTTTAGGCACGTGTAGATTCAGAAACCGTGGATTCTTGATGTGCAAAGTTCTATTCATTCAGGAAACATAGCAAGTAAATGGCATATAATGTAAGTATGCAAAAAAGATTACCTGCACATATTTTTGCCTTGTTTTTTTGAAGTAATACTTGTCGATGTCAAGCATGTAAGTCCCAGAGTTTGAACTGTCTGAGGTGCAGTGTGACAAGCATAACTTCCTGTTGAGAGAGGTGAGCACTTTGAAAACCAAGTGAAATCATGGAAGGTTACAAGGTGAACTTTTCAGAACACAGCATGTGTGGGCAGATCAGGAGGTGATTCTGAAGATGCTCTGCCAAGCAAATGTCTCAACAGACTTCTCGGACATACTGTTAGGTGATCTTTTTTTTGCTGTTGAGTTTTCTACTTATAAGAAACTAGTACAAAAACCCTTGATAATCGTTTATTTGTAATTCTAGCTGTGTTAGAACTTTGTGCCTTTTTTACATTCTGTGACCTCATTGGGAAAAAATTGCTGTTTCTCTACTATGTTATATAATGGAATGACATTTTGGTAGCATGTTACAATTCATACCAAGTTTAAAACTGTCATTTGTAATTATTTGCATACTATAAAGGTAACTGCAAAATTCTGTCAATTCCTTTTTTAAAATGTTTACTTTTAAAATGAAATTTAAATATGGGCATCTGCTTCTACAAATGCTTCAAAGAAAAGTTGAAAATCTTTTTTTTTTTTTTTTTTTTTTTTGCTATTCTGGATGGCAAATTGAGTTGCAGTTTGAGGGTGAATGTAGGACTTAAGGTATTGTTTGAGGTTTCAACAGCTTGAATTTAGTTCCTCAGTCGGTTTTATAAAACCTTTTAAAATCCTAATCCTTTGGACTTCAGTTTAGTGAAAAACTCTGAAGTTCATGAAAGCTTTTCCTTAGGCGAAGGGTTAAATCAGTTATTTTTTTCTACTAATAAGGCATGTATAGAAAAATATTTAAAAATTGCATGGGAAAGTGAAGGAACTCATGATCTCACTACATGGAATTCATAAGATTACAAGTGCAGTAGATGGCTGCACGATCCCCTCATTTATTTCAATCTGTCTTCTATAAGTAATAGTGAATTAGCACGTATTTGCTGTGTTGTCTTTAAGAAATTGGGGAAAATATTGTATTAAGATACATTGTTCTAGTAGCTAACTTTCTGTAAATTGTCATAATTACCACTTGACTTTTTAAAAGAAGTTGATACACTGAAAAACACCTGGTAAGAGATAGGTTTTAGATGAAATTTGTAACTTGGACTTCAAAATTGATTTTTAGAAATTATATTAGATATAATCCTCCTTAAGGAACTTAATTATTCATACTCTGCAGTGTGTTTATGGTTAAAACATTTTTAGGGGACGATCCCATAAATGTGCCCCCCATATACGTACTTTGAGTGTGCTTGTTTACATGGCCCTGTGCAAGTTCCTGGTTTGCTCACTTGTCTCACAAAAGGAAGATTTTACATGTGAAAATAAAGTGGTTCGTTTGTCACAACAGTTAGCAATGTGATTGCAAGATAGCTGAGGTTTGAAGGGGTGTCTGTAGATCATCTGGTCCATTCCTCATGCTCAGGCATGGCTGCCTGGGGTGGATTGCCCAGGATAGTGTCCAGGCAGCCTTTGAAAATCTGCAAGGAGAGATGCAGGTAGGTTCACTACCTATTTGGGGGAAATGATGTCTTACAGACAATTTCCTTGTGTTTGTGTTTTGTTTTTCTTAAACCAGATAGCATTCAGATTCTGTCCTCGTGCAGCACGTGTAGGTGGTAATGCATTGGCTGATAGCTTCATTAAGATTACAGGCCAAATTCAGTTTATTATTAAAACAGAATAAATATTTCCCAGGTGAGGAATATTAATCTCCTCTGTGACATACTGAAAACTGCTCTTAATTGTTAGAAAAAAATGTTCTTTTTTGGGCTGAGGTCTTTGAGTGTTTTTTTGGTGCAGTCTGCTTGGTTGATAGGAGCCTATTGTCCTGAGAGGTGAATAAAAAACGTACAGTTAAAGCTTTATCACCTAATATTATTTATTCTTTTACTTCATCCTTTCATTTTCTTTCACTAATCTATTTATAGTCAGCCTTCAGCTGCCCAGTATTATTAATTATGTATAGTCTACTG